CTGGCCCTGTAACTTGCAGAGGGCCGCCGGGGAGAAGACCTCGTATAGCATACATCTCTTCCGGAGTATACTGATATATTCGACTCCAGAATCAGTGAGCCCAAAGATGACAGTATCATATGTCTCTGTATTCCGCATCATAGCCTTCATTGCCGAGAAGTCTAGCTTGTTCAGAGATTCCCATGCTTTCATCGAGGACTTTGTAGCCATCAAAGAAGAGATGCGCTCGAAGCTAGGTATCAAGAGTCCTCCATCTGGCGGACTTAGGGATTTCTTCGACTATAAGATTGAGTCTGATTTCTAGTACAGAGATTGTAAGTGCATGCGTGAAACTCGAGCATCAGCAGAAACTGATATCCATAGTTAGCAAGGCTCGCAGAAGTCACCAACTGAATGAGGATGTTGGTCCATTTCCTGGTATCCATATTCGAAACCCTCGTCTGCGAAACAAAAGTTCTCTGACTGTAATAAAGCTAGAACAACCTCGAAATCACCCTACCACCTACTCAGCCAATTGCCTCCAACCGAACGTCTTTCGCGCTTTCCTTGGAGAGTATAGATGATATGTCAGACACCTGGCAAAGAAATTCGATGCAAACGTATACTTCGGCGTAGAGCAGAGTACCGAGGGAGGATACTGGATATAGGTAGAGGCTCGACATGGAATCGAGATCACGCCAGCGGTGCAGAATCAGTTGGAGGCAACGCATAAGTTGCTGCTAGCGCACTCGGAAGTGAAGTGAGATATGGTACCGCATCTGGCGGATTTCCTGGTCGATTATACGCGCGAACAGCGAGCAATTCGGTCGGAGATAGATGAGAACCAAGCGATAGGCGAAGATAATCCAGTGGATACTCAGTAGAGTGGCGCTGTCTCAACGCCTAAGACTGAGGTGTAAGCGGTCTACTCTTTAAAGCGTGCAATGGTTGTCTCAGACGATAAAGAACAGGAAGATATCAGACGCCGTCGAAAGTCTCCACGTCCGCAACCACCAGCCTCAGCCCTGTACAAAGGGTGTGCGAAATTATATAGTGCCTTTCACGGAGGTTTCCAGCGAGACCTGAATAAACGAGGAAGAAAGAATGGCCCAACTCTAATGACAGGAGAGAAGAAGAATGACAAGCTGAAGCGGGGGTAAGGGGGGTTTTTGTTAAGGAAAGGGGTTGAACGAGAAGTATTCACACTTTGTAAAACTCTGTTGGTTTAGTCATGTCCACAACACAAGGCAGATCTCTCCCAGAAGACTGAACAATGGTTCTGAAGTCACGTAGCTCTATCAGAATTTTCCAGTCTCGTTCATACAAGTTTTAAATCAGAAGGTGACCTTTGTTGGAGAACTGCGTGTTAGGTAAGGATCGTCTGTTCGTGTCAGGTTTTGCAGATAGAATACGCAAATGGAATGAACAAATTGTACATCAAGAAAATTCCTTGGGGAACATAAGCATGTTTCTGCCTAACATGTTTCTCTTTGAGTTTGAAAGTGCTCTAGTGGGAAGAACATGTCCTTTGAGCTCCTTGATAGTGTCTGATAGTTGGATGCTGGTGAGCGGTGGATGGAAAGAGCGTGACGCTGTCCACTGAAGACGGGAAGCCTACCTAATAATGGAAGGTAAAGCCAGGTGGCCAATAATAATACAGCTGGTGCAGTAGACATCTGATTAGGCATCACGCCCCACCAACGCCGAAAGCTCCCTCAATGCCGACCTCTTCCTCACACCTCCGGACTACGATCCGGATATCAACAAGATCAAAGTTGCCGGCGGATGTTCTATCGTGGAATGGGAATTGGCAGGCTGGATAAACCAAACATATGATGTGAGGGGCTGGTTCCAATAGTACTGCCGGTTCTTCATGGGAAGGCGATGTGACGACGATGATAGACAGGTCTCGAGGTGGAAGAAATGCGTTGGAGCTACCGGGAGGTGGAGGAGAATGTTGTTGAAGAAGTATGTCAGTGCTGGTGTGAGAGAGGTGTTTGAACATGGGGCAGAAGAGGAACAAGAAGAGGTCAGCCCGGTGATGCATCAGACTTGTCATCATTAGGCGTTCTGCGTTACTCAAGAAGTATTGGACGAGTATTGGAAAACAGGGAAGTGAATAGGGTGGACTTGCACTGGGAAACGACTCAATGTTGGAGTTCCACGATCTCGATGGGACTGAAGCTGCTTGTTAAGCAATCGAGAAATAGGTCAGAAGTGAAGACATCCTTCTCGGTGCTGATAGCTGGCTGACAGTCGACTAGCGAAAAACTGGGGCTTTCTGTGTGAGAAGCCATACGTTTCTCAAAAGGCAGATTCTAAGGGTTGATGATGGATTTTTCTTAGGTCCGAGAGGTGGCAGAAGCCTCTCGTTGTGACTCAAATCGGCTCTAGCGGATACCGTGGCGACTTCACTGAAATTTCTTTGTCAAATGCCGAGTGCTTTCGATAAGGGTGATCTACAATTCCGTTGTTGGCCAGGTGCTTTTGGAATCGATGCTACTTCTGGGTATTTACTAAGCGACTTTCTGGAAAGGATTTCGATCCTCTTCAATGTACTATTGAAAGGTATAGAGCATGTTGAATTCGTTACTGTTCTATAGACGGGAAAGCTCTAGCTAATATAGTACTGGAGAGTGCACGGTTGTAATCTCAACATATTGCTCCCTTCTCAGATCTGTAGTCCTTCGAATCAAGAGCAACAATTGGCGTTCTTAGTACTCCTGCGGCTTCTAGAACCTTGTTCCCTAGTACTAGTTCCTCCGGGTTCTCCTTGTGGAAATTTCAGATAGCTTTCATACATGGACGGATTTCATCAAGATTGAAGTTTTTTCTCACCCTTCACCTATTGTCTTCACGATTCGGTGTTGTACGTAGGCGTCAGGAAATTCTCATTCGGGATCAGTTGCCGGTTGTTCTACGTCAACCCATTTGCCGCACTCGTTCTGCTCTAGTGTCTCGCTGATTTGGTCGTCGTCTTCACTAAGCCCGTCCTGTACCTCATCGTCTTCTTGTTCGGCATTACCGGTCTAGTTTGTTCCGGCCAGTCTCCAAATTGGAAAATATTTGCTCATTTCCCCCTTCTCACGTCTTGTCAGACGTTTTTCTCCTTCGATTTCCGATCGTGTCCGATCGTGGTGTTTTCCCAGTACTGAAACGTGGAAGACATTGTTGTGTACCTTTGAGAACCGCGATGCTGTAGGTCTACCGAGTTCAAGCTTGCAGTTCACAGGCCCTATCTTTTCTATGATTGTCCAAGGTCCTGTCTCCCTCGGGTCTAGCTTGACTCTTCTTCTTGTTGAAACCCACGATGTCGAGGTTCTGTTTTGTTGTCTTCAGCATGACTTTGTCTCCGACTTCGAATGATATATCAATGTGGCGTCGGTCGAATTGGGTCTTTATTTGATCCTTCAACTCTTCCAGGTTTTTTTTGAGTGTATCCAAAAGCTTTCTCATCTTCAGACGAGTTCACTACTCCGTAAACACCTTCTCGGACGCTGCTACAAAAGTCTACCCTAAAGGCGAGAAGTATTTCGAGGATAGGTATGCCGCAGCAGATTCGGCTCTATCAATGCCCTATTAAAATGCCTCAGTAACCTGATGCGTGACATACGCCTCCACGTACTAGGAAATAAACGCCATCGTGAATTGTCGTGAAGTCGTAAAGTCCCTGACTATTATTTGTCTTTAGAAAAGAGTCCAAGAAGAGACACGAATTCCCTCATCTGTCGTAATTTCTATTCTGGGAGATAGAAATGGGAAGTAGCTCAAAATTGGCCAATGTACTTCCGAGAATCCCAGACGTAGACTCGCTCGTCCCAAGCAGTAGTAGCAACCCAACCCTCAGCACCAAACATACACCAGTCAACACCAGTAACGAACTCAGTATGATTGTTCATCTGACCAAGCTGGCGATACTGACCTTGACTGCCTATATCGTTGACGCCGATTGCAGTTCCGTCGGTCCAGATTCTCGCAGTCATGTCATACGAGCCAGAAAGGAGAACGTCAGAGAAGTGAGGAGACCAGGCCAGCTTGCGGACAGCATAAGCGTGTCCTTGGAGGGTAGCTATTGCACTAGCAGCAGGGTTGCGGAGATCAAAGGTACGGATTATCTGATCCACACCAGCTGTAGCGATGATTGAACCACGGTACTTGTTCCAGTCGTGGGTAAGGCATTCGGAGGGTAGAGCTCGAGGAGGTTGTGTAATACCGCTAGAGCGAAGAGAGGGAGGAGATCCGTGGATAGGGATTAATGAGACCAAGTGGTTAGAGGCAGAAGAAGGTGTGCGGATATCAAAGACGCGGAGGTGTGAGTCTGAGGAGACAGAGGTGATAACAGATGGCGAGAATGGCGAGAAAGCACAACTGTAAGTGCAGCTGTGAGTTGGAAGAGTAAGGATCGACTCGGCACGAGTAGGAGACCACTGTATCAACAAAAGTCAGTTCAACTCTAAGAGACCGCGGCGTAGCAGGGTACTTGCCAGCTTAATAGTACCATCCCAAGAGCTCGAGACAAAGTTGTCCTTTGAAACCAGGTTCCAGCTAACAGCATAGACCTCGCGCTTATGCTCATTGTAGTTGACGAGTGGGAGAGAACTAGGTGTATTGCCGTCATACATACGAACAACTCCATCGCCGCATGCAACAACGAAGTGGTTCTCGTGGGCCTCCGACCAGGTAATACCGTAGCAAGCGTCGTTTGTATCGAATCTGTAGAAGGGTTAGCTTTGCCTTTGTTTGTCGAAGCGGCTGGATCGACTCACTGGTTGAGACAGGTAATAGTACCATTGGGCGCAATTCCTAGGACATAGGCACGACCGTTTCCGACCAAGCCATAATTGCTAGCTGCAGCGACAGCGATCTTGTCACTGTGGAAGGGCGAGTACTTCAGATCATAGCCATTGTAGCCATGCGTACGAAATTCCATGCTTTAGAATGATGCGCGCAGTGGAGATCGTACAAATGCAGCTGCGTTGATACTTAATTGTAGAATCGAGAACAACTGAGCCGCAGTGAATTCGAAATACGGTATCTCAGCCTTGGGGTTTGACCTCGGCTAGCACAAGCGGCAGAACGCTCCCTGATCACAACTAGTAGGGCGGCAGGTTGTTCAGTGAGTGTGGATTAAATACGCCTGCGAACTCCTTATAGCTCCAGCAGGGTTTTCATTGGTTTATCCTTCTAGAAAGCTTCACAATATTGATATACCTTTACTATTTGTTTACCAGTAAAAACCGACAAGAAACCCCTACCAATTCTCCCACACCCCAGCAGGAATAACTGTCCTCATAACAGTCCAGTGCCCACCCGCGCTCTTCTCCT